AATAATAGTCTCATTTATGTGAAAACCACCCAGATTCTTAGGGAAATAGGGATACATGTGCTAATGAACACTAGTAGTCCTTTTAATGATTTTTTAAATTGCTTTTGCAACATGGACTTTATTCTCAATGATGGTTTATGTTCTTAACTCCTCCCACAACCCGTCATGTGCCCTGACCAGGAATTGAACCACGATCTGTTGGATCATAGGTCGATCCTCAGCCATTGAGCCACACCAGCCAGGCCATGGCACTCTTTCTTCCTGAACCCTGGAAGCTCCAGAGCTTGAGGAAGCCACAGACAAATGACTGGTGTTGCCTGAAACATTAAACCTATTTGTCCTTAGTTGAGTGTCTTCCTCTAATTGAACTCCTTCATCTGCTTATCCTCATGCTTTTACTATTCTCAGACAGGTGAACATGAACAGCAACAACCAAATAAGACCCCTGTCAGAGAAGCCAGAACTCTTTTGGGTCACAAATTATCATTACAATACCAGTACGGGCCTTGGCCTGGTTAAAGTGTTCATCAGAGATGAATCATTGCTGTTACAGTCAGAGCAAAGACATAGAGGATCTTTGCAAATGATGCCTTTACTATTTGCTGTGGGAATGATGTGGCAATAACCTCACTCAAAAATTTCTAATGTTGCAACCAAGGCATAAAGTAGACCATGCTTTTTGAATTGAAATGAAAGTGAACCAATCAAGCAGCCCCTATGTCAAGGATTCATTGAGGGACTTTCTTCACACTTGGACTACTACAATAGCACTCTAGAGACTGAGCTCCTGGTTTGTAGTCTCTTGCCACTTCAGTCCATTCTATCCACAGTCACATTCACACCTGAAATAACTCTATTTCAGCATTCCTCCCCCACTCAAAACCCATTCATTGAAATCCCTTGCAGGAGGGAATTTGACCCTTCCAGGCTGACCTGCCATTGCTCCACTTTCTCTACCCTCATTTGTATCCATGTTTTTCACCTCCAAGCTAGATCTTGTTTGGAATTGTTTTTTCTGCTTTTCCAAATTCCACCCAACCTCAAAGACACTGTTCTGCCCCGATTTGTTCTGTGAACTCTTTCCACCCACCCCCGCCTTTCTTTCTCTTTTGGATCATCCACCATGTGTGTACAGAGGTTCTTACTGAATAGTCTTTGCCTCTTGTATGAGACATAGCATTTCTCTGTTGGATTATTAGAACACTTGCACGCCATGTGCCTGTCTTATCAGCCTCTCCCCTGTCCCAATAGCATCTTCTGGTGTTCTCCATGGCACATGACATCATCATGCCATACATAGAGAATGGTCTGCAGGTACTAGGCTGCTCTGCCGGAGTCCTCAGCATCTTAACAGAGCTGGATTCGTCTTGGGAAGTTAATGCCTTCAGTGGGAGTCATAGCCTAGAGGGCATGTTTGCTCAGTGACATGTCCTTCTACTGACTTCTCTGATCAGTAAATCCTTAGCTCTGGGAGCCAGAAACTCAAACTCCAAAAGTTACTTCCAGAACTACAAGTGTCTCAAAAGCATCCTCTTTCTATCTTTGCCCTCAAGTCAGAATTTCCCTAATGTCAAAATTTTAATTTCCTGATGTAGTTGAAATATGTGTAGATGTAAATACATTTCTTGAATATCAGTCTTTTAATTTAAAATATAATTTCCACAGGTAAAATTGCCAACTTTTCAGGAGTGCCAAGAGCCTCACACCTTGGCTGCCTCAGCTCCTCTCCTTTCATTTTTTTGATCTTTGAAATCGGAGTCTGAGAAACAGTTCTGGGGAGACTTGTGGAAGTGCTGAGAAGAATGGCAACCAGCCTAAGTGAAATAAGCACATCTGACAATTTTTAGGCAACACGATGTGCAGTCATCTCTACCCTTGGATTAATGAGAGCAAATTAAAATCATCATGTTGTAATGCTAGAAAATTCACCAGAATGCACTGCCAAGTTTTTGACATGCTGAGATAGTGATCCCAGCTCCCCAAAAGGCCAACAAAAATGAGAAATGCATAACTTCATAGATGGCTTCCTGACTAGAATAATACCTGCCCCTGCCCCTGCCCCTACTCTAAAGGCAAACTCTCCTTATTAAAGGGTTTCATCAGTCATGCCATTCCAGATCCCTCTGACTCTGACACTAGTGCTGTCTTACCCTCAGTAAGTGATGCTAGGACCTATGAAAGAAGAGAGGTGTAGGTGGGGAGGGAAGTAAGTGGCACCATGTTTTAGTAATGTCACAGCACAGTGCTTGGAAGCGAGATTGCATATAAGGAAGAGGCTGGACAGTCTTTTGCATTTTCCTTCCTTTTTCTCTCCATTCAGAAAGCAGGCAGAGCATCTCATTACACAAGGAGAGCAGAGACTCATGTCAGAACACCTCTCTCTGCATCACAGTATGTTTAATAGTTGTCAGGTGCTGTGCCTCACTCAGACTACTTACTCATACAGCTCCTAAATGTGCTGACATCCTGCCTAAAATAGAACCCACAACCCTGCCGCCTAAATGAACCCAGCTCTCAACTAAAGCCAGTCAGATACAGTGGAGCTCCTCAGGCTGATGACATAGGGAACCAGAGTGGGTGGGTCAGCCACCGAATTTTCATAGCACATTGTGGAAAAGGAAATGGTACAGTTCATAGTGCAAGAGTGTAGAGGGGAAATATGCAGTGTGGGGTGTGAGAGAAGTACCCTGCTCTCCAGGCATCTTCACATTGCCTGTGGAGTCATAGGAACAGCTTTTGGATACTCAGCTGCTTAATGCAAGGCCACTCATCAATAAAGTACTTACGTGCCCCGATCTATTGATGTGGACTTCTTCTGACCTTGCTGGCACTGATGGGACGTGCGCATTACTGATTCTGTGGGATAGATATAACAGGCTTGATCAGTGAGACTGAGGAGCTGCAAACTCTCTCAGGGACTGCTGACCACTCTCACAATAATTGCTTGACCTTTATTAACATCTATTGACAACTACCATTGATACTTGATATTCACACATCTCCTCCATTAGTGCCATCCCACAACGGCTTTTGTGGTGGAGGCAACAGCCATGTGAGTAGGGAGACTAGGGGCCAATTTTGCGGTCATATTCTTTGTCACTGAATGGTGCGGTCTCTCAGTTCTTCTGCAGAGCTGAATTTGCATTTGAAATCCAGTGGCAGCAGAAGCCATTCATTTAAAAGGCACTTATTGGGAAACTATGTTTAAATGCCTGTTTGGGGTACTGTGGGGGTAGAAAACAGTATCATTCATGTGTAAACTCAGTCCTGAAGCATTGCAGACAGAATGCAGTGTCTTTTTTGTTGTTAAGATTTTACAGGTAAAAATGGCTATAATGGATGAAGGTATAGAGAACTTAAAAAATATATTTTTACTGATTTTTTTTTTAATTTTTATTTTTTGAGAGAGAGAGGAAAGGTGAGGGGGAGAGAGAGAGAGAAACATCAATGTGAGGGCGGAACACTGATCAGCTGCCTCCTGAAAGCCCCCTCCCAGGGATCAATCCCCAAACCCGGGCATGTGCCCTAAATGGGAATTCAACAGGTGACCTTTCAGTGCACTGGATGATGCCCAACCAACTGGACCACACTGGCCAGGGTGAATTCAGTGTCTTTTTAAACAGCTGGTTCCCTCCAGTGTTCTCCATGTGGTGGGAGCCAAGTGATGTAATGGAAAAGCAAATATTTGGGGGTCAGCCAGACCTGGACTCCAGCTCCAGCTTCATCACTTACAAATTCCTCCATCAAGTCACAGCAGGCGGGTCTAACGGCCACTTCTCAGAGCTGTTGAAATGAAATCATTTCAATGGGAAAGCACTACTAATATGTCTTGGTGGCCCATAGGTCACACTGCCACAGTGCTGGTCTGGGAGGTGGCCATGGAGGATGACTAGCAGAGCAGAGCTGCTTAACCATCCTGTGTAGTGTGGAGGGCAAAGCCTCCAGCCTTGAGCTCCATGACTCCCCCAGGAGAGTCTATAACACTGGAAATAGATCAAATTTTTGCTTTTACAGATTAAATTTGTTTCTAACAATGCATGGATGTGTCTAGATCTCACAGATAGCCTATACTCTTGCTGCCCTGGCTCATGTTCCCTTTCTCCTTAGCACAACAATGGGACCCAGCCAGACCCCTCCTGTGGCACTCTGCATGGTCCATTATTGAAGCCAGTGGTTACTAGAGGCAAAGAGGACCTTCCCTGCCACTTGCCACAGAAGCTCTGGCCTCCAACCTTTAGACTCCAGTTTAAAATGCACCTTTTTTGTTGTTGTTTTACCTCAGCTCTCTGCAGTCATTTCACCTCCATTTTAAGAGTTTCAAACATTTGTTTATGATCCCAGTTCTCTCAGGCCTCAGAAAGCTTAGGTTCCTTAACTGATGTTACAGAGCTAATAGGTGGCTCTGCTGGGATGGAAGCTTGTCTCCCTGACTTCAGAACCTGGCCTCCTAACCATGAGCACCAGGGCATTGAAGTCCCTAATCCTGCTGGGGTATAAGGGAGCTGACCCCTGACTTAGGGAGAGGAGCAGGATGTTGATGAAGGGAAGGAGAGAAGGAGAGAGCAGAGGGGAATTGAGGCAGAGGAAAGAATGTAAGGGACATTGTGTTTGAGGAGCCACTGTGGGCAAAGGATGTGGCTCCCCAGCTGGATGAGGGCCTAAGTGCCAAGAGAAGTTTGTCTTCCATCTGATTGAGACAAAGCAGATGTCTGTGATGCTCTGTCAGCCAGCAATCACATGTTTCTGCCATCACTGATGCTTGATTTTATTTTTAAAGAAGATGTTTTCCCCTTCAGTCCATGTGTGCCTATCTCTCCCTCAAGTTCTCATTCCCTCCCAAGTTCTTCCATGCTCTCCTCTCCAGGTCTCCAGATCTGTTCACAGATCCTGAATAGGCTCTCAGGGAGCCTCTTACAGAGACCAGGAAGGAGTGGCCTTCAGGTGTTGATGTGGACCCAGAGCAGAGCCCAGCACCTCAACTCTAGACCTGTCTCTTGCAGATAATTGGGACCATTCCTCTGATGCCAAATCCGGGGCCATCAAGCCAGGCAGCGAGTGGCACTCAGGGCCTTCAAGTGCAGTCGATCACCCCCCAGCTCCTGACAAACGCCCAGGGCCAGATCATCGCCACAGTCATCGGGAACCAGATCCTGCCAGTGATCAACACCCAGGGCATCACACTCTCACCCATCAAGCCTGGCCAGCAGGTAAAGGTTCCATGTCCAGGCAGCCAAGGCTACCTGGACACTTCTCTTTACTATCCTCCTTCTGAGGATAGTAAAAGTAATTTTACTATCAATGAAAAGTAACTTTTAGATTATAAAATATTTAATTCCACTAATCCTAATATATCAATACTTCTAAACAAGCAAGTTAGCTTTATTTTTTATTTGTAGTGGATATGGGTGAGAACTAAGTAATTCTGAAATATAAAATATGAATATGTTACATTATAAAGAGAGACAGTGGCCTAAAGTAGGGATGTGTTCTTATTTATCTATGCTATGATCCTTAATTTTCAGGCAATTTCAAAAGGGGCCAAGAAAAAACCAAGACCACTTATGCCTTAATTTTTACTTTTTAAAAAATTATTAAACACCAAGACATCCCATGTTGGTGCTCTTTAGACTGCTGCCTACAAATTAGGAAATGTAAAGTAGGAAGTTCAACTTGGTGAATTTCATTAAAACCCTGACAGTCCAGTTCATTTTTTTTTCATTCAAGTATCAATGCAGCACTTTTTATCTGTTATTCTAGAGGCTGAGTACACAGCAGTGAAGAAGAAAGATGTGGTGCCTGTGTGCTAAGCTTCTGGTTATTTGGTTCCTTCGACAAACATTTTTTTGATAACCAACTATATAGCAGGCCCCTACTAAAGGAATGAAAGAACAATGCTCCTGATTTTAAGAAGCTCATAGTCTTCTAGAGGACACAGATACATAGCAAAGCCCCATTGTGCAATAAAGCAGAGAATGTCCTGTGACAGGACAAATATGCATGAAGTTTAGTATCATCACAGAGATGGGAGTGACCAACTTTGCCCAGAGAGTTTTGTGTCCTCACAGAGAAAATTATTTGGGGACTGAGTCTTAACGGATGATTAAAAATTAACCAGGTAAATGATGAGTTAACAAAACATTCCAGTCAGCGGGAACAGCAGGCACAAAGGTAAGGGAATGTGAAGGAGGGCAAAATGTTGAGAAAAAAGAGAGTTTCATGTTATTGGAGAATAGAGGGAGGCTGAGCACAGTCATGAAAAGGGCTTTGTAATCCAACTGGAAAGGATGGACTTTGTCTCTGTGTGATCCTGAACACACTACACATCATCTTTGTGCCCCAGTTTCCTCATCCGTAAGATGGGGATAATAATCAGCACCTACTTCACAGGCAGTTATGAGGATTAAATGAGTTAATATGTATATGAAATGGTTAGAACGATGATTAGCACACAGTAGGTACTTATATAGTCATGATGATGGTGGTGATGATTTACCCTGCAGACCTGGGAGTCTATAAGAGTTAATTAAGAGAAGGATGACACACTCAGCTTTATTTTTCAAGTAAACAACTCTGGTAGCAGATGGAGGTTGAATTGAAGTGGTGAAATATTCATTGTAAACAAACTATTTAGGAAAGTATAGCAAAATACAAATAGAAATTCATAAGAGCAAGCACTAAATAGTTGAAACTAAAGGCTGGAACTGTAGTAAAGCTCAGGACAGGATCTGAGAATCATGAGCACATGCGTTGTAGCTGAAAACAAGACACCCATTGAGAAATCATGAGGAGCAAGGGAAGGAAGGAAGACAAAGAAGTCATCTTTGGAAACATCAGTGTTTAAGGAATGAAAGAGGAAGGGAGAGAGAGAAGAAGTGACTGGATAAGTAAGAAAGGAACCTAGAGCATGGTGATTTAGCATCGAAGAGTTTTTAAAAGGTAAGAAGTGGAAAACAGAGTCACAGCTGCAGAGATGAAATCAGGTAAAGCAATGGAAAAGCATAATTTCCTGTATTTCTTTGTTGTAATATCTTAGAGCCTGGATTGTCTTTGTTTGAGACATTTGAAACAAGTAACAGGGTGAGTTAAGAAGCAAGAGGTAGGCAAGGCTAAGGCCCAGATTTACAGTTGGAGGGTGCACCAACAAAGGGGTGGAGAGAAAGTTGGAGACTAACAGTGCATGACTGAGTATAGGGCTTTATGAGTTGTTGGGAAACTTTATAATGTAAAGGATTTTTCAAGGAAATAAAATACGGAGGAAAAGAGAATAAGAAAGCACCGATAAGTACATCATTTATTGGCAACAAAATGAAAATGTCCTTCCAGAGATCTCAGCCATTTCACTTCTGAACCATCCATGAAAACAGCCTATTCTTGGTGGCACTCTTGGTGGCTATATTTGGAATATCCATTTGCTTGTTCAATAAATATAAAATTTTTAATATAAATATTTATTGGTCATCTACTATTTGTCAGGCACTGTACATGGAAATTAGGCTGGTGTACAAGATGGTAACATGAGCCTTTCCTTCATGGAGTTTAGTCTAGGGAGGGAAATGGACATTTATCAAAGACTTGTACAAATATGTACATAAGATCTGAAGTAAATGCCACGAGGGAGTAGTAAAGGGATCTATGAGAGTCCAGCAAGGGGACCTCCTTCAGTGAGGGAGTCAACACAAAGAAACTACAAGTCAAGTTTGAACACACTTCCCAGGGATGAGACCTCTGTCTTACTCTCTCTGATTTTCACTCTAAATCTAAATCACTGCCTGGGGAGCAAGGTTCCCAGCCACACTCTTTTTCCTCAGCTTTATCCCAGGAAAACATATCATTGAAGACTTTCATCCTTTCCACAGCCCCCATCTTTCAGCTGGTTTATTTCTTTGGCTATTTACAAAATTTCATTACATTCTCTAAATAGTTCTAAATAGTTCCCCATTTTTAAGCCCTAATTCTATCTGTTCAAACTTATGTTCAAAATTACCTATAGGAGGGAAATGAAGACATAGCCTCTTTTCATGCAATCTATTAAAAACTATTTCTGTCAGCAAAGCCAAGCTGTAAATTGCCCCCCCAAAAAAGTGATGAGTTAATTAGAAATCATCAACATTTAATACAAAGCAGCTTCCACTTTCACCTTGAATTTCAAAGGAGGGTGTTTGGGTGATAGACTATTGCTGTTACATAATATTACAGCTCTAGATTTGAGGTAGTACAATTTTAATCCAGGAGAAAGACCTAACCTAGAAATGGCAAATAAGAAGCAGGTCTGGTGCCACTCTTCAACTCCTTGCCCAGAGTAGACATCATTAATCCATTTCCACAGTCTCTCTCATAAGCACAGATGCACCTCAGAAGCTTTTTCATACTGCACCTGTTGGGCCCTGGAATATCTGACCCTCTGCTGGTGTAACCACCCCCACCGTCCTCTTCACTGTAGATTTGGAGATCTAGAAACTGGGGGAAAACAGACAGCCTCTTGGAGGTGTGCCTTGCACATCCACCTCATGTCAATTATAACCAGCATCCCAGAGAGTGGATTCTCCTTGCATGTATGAGAGTGCTGAAGGACACATACCCACAGATAGAAAGAGTGGCATGTGAACCTTCCTGAATACCCAAGTCATAGCAGGCACTGACAGTCCCATCCCTTCTGTTCAGGACATGTGCCAGCAGCTTATTCTAGTCTCAGAAAGATGAAGGGAACCAGTGGTGAACCTGGTCAGAAATATCAGGGAAATGGTGGAAATAGATGAATAACTATTGCTATTTTTTTTTTTTTTTGCTTCATCTGTGGTTAAAACACTTTAGAACATGTAGTAAATTAGCAAGTTGGATGAATTGACAGGAGATTCCCAAGTCTGAGTCCCATTTATAAAAGCTGGGATTCTGAGGATAGAGGATCATAAAATGCTGAGTTCGAAAGTAAAAAGCTCAGAGCTGGAGATGTAAAAATAGTGTTCTTTAATTTTTTTCTTTAAATATTACCCATCACACAGTAGAGAAGTGTCTCTATTTTTTCTTGTGATTTATGACAAATATTTGATTTCATAAGATCATAGTTCCAACAATAAGTCATAAATTACAGGAGTACAGATATCATTAACTTGCACTTATATGGAAGCCTACTTTAAGTCACTCTGACCACTTTAGGGTTCTCTGAACAAATGACTTGTAGTGATTTAACAAAAAATAATTACATCTTTAATTTTTATATCTGCCTACCCTAATTAAGAGAGCCTAAATAAAATCTGAGGGATGTCAACTACTCTTTTTTTCCCTTATATAAAAAAAAAAATTATCTTTATTGTTGAAAGTATTATAGATGTCCCCCTTTTTTTCCACAATTGACCCCTTCTGCCCCACTCCTGCCCCCTCCCCAGGCATTCCCCTCACTATTGTCTGTCCATAAGCTATGCATATATGCATGTAAATTCATTGGTTAATCTCTCCCCCCACTTCCTTCTGAAATATGTCAGTCTGTTTCGACTACTCTTGAAGATCATTTTTTTCAATGATGAAAGCTTGATGACTTGCAAAATTGTCATCTGGAATACAAACATTTTATATATATACCAGGATTTGACAGCCCTAGATATAGCTTCCAGTATCACATCAGAGAACCTTGGTGAGGAATACAACAAAATAAGAATCAGAAAAGGACTAGGAGAATGAGAGAGGGAGGGAGAGGGAGAGGGAGAGGGAGAGGGAGAGGGAGC